CCCTCCTACGCTGGAAGAGCATTCGTTGACATGTCAGATCCTGGATTTCACGGTTGAGCTGACAGCTGTTGGTCTATAGGAAAGTTGCGCTTTACAATTGTATGAATTTGGAGTAATTTCTTTGCTCAATAGTCGTCGCTCTTGTTTAGACTGCAACATTCGGATAAGCATCTTAGATGGTATTTTAGAGACATCTATTCCTTAAATATTAACGGCCTTTTTTGGAACATCAAAATTTATGAGATGCACTGGAAATTACTGCCTCTCGTATATCCCTCTCTTGTCCGTCCCCAAATTTGTACAAGTTCATTAATACACAATTCTATGGGCTTTTAAGTGCTAGAAATTTCAATCCTCTAAACAAGCCTTCAATCAGCATCACCATTTTCCTGAATTCGATCATTTGTCCGTCGACTGCCTGATCACAAGCCCTCTCTGGATGCAAACAGTTTTCACAACTCTATCGGGGCAACCGGGGAACATGCACTCCCATCTCGGCAGTCGGCTCACCCCTCCATACGAGCGCTTGATTGCAGCCAAAGTCCACCAAATAATAATACATGGTTTCCATTGGCTAAATAGACCCTAACGCATCTCATCTAGCTATCCCCTGAAAATACTTACCGGAGCGGGCGACATGGGGAGAGTGGAGCCGAATGTAATGTGCGGGGTACTAGTTGTGATGCATGCGAAGCTCAGGGTTCAAGCTCTCCAGCACAAAGCTTGAAGCTTTTAGGAAAGTCTGTTTCTCCATCAATCATGGTGATGCGGAGGAGAGATGTCTGGTGACGTTCACTTGCATGTTCTTTTTTTCATCTCGAGATTTGTTCCTCGGCCTTTCTGTTTCTTGGTTCATGGGCATGTCGGACAAACGATGGAGCGGCTAAGTATCCTGGAGAAACGTTGACACAACTTTGGACATCGTTAGAATGGGGATTTGCGGGACCTAGTGGGGAGTCTGGTATGGTACTGAGGCGATGGTATATATGGACCTCATCTGCAGCTTAGGAAATGTCTTCTTCAGGATGAAGAAGTGAAGTGAACTTCCACCAAGTCATCTCAACCCCCTCTTCATCACCTCAGCCAACTTCAAAATGCGTCTCTCAACCCTCCTCCCCCTCGCCCTCACCACCAGTGCCCTCGCTTCCGCCATTCCAAATGTCGAGTCCTCTTCTAAAAAACGCGCCTCCTGGCCTTACGGTCCCTTTGTCTCCTCCGGCCGCTACATTCACAACTCCCTTGGCGAAAACGTAACCTACGTAGGTGTAAATTGGCCTGGCGCGGCCGACGCCATGATTCCCGAAGGGTTGCAATACCAACCTATATCGAAGATTGTCTCGGACATTAAGAGTCTGGGGATGAATGTTATTCGATTGACGTATGCGGTTGAGATGGTGGATGATATTTTTGATAACGGAGGCGACAAGACATTACTTGCGAGTTTCCAGAATGCCTTGGGCACAGCGAATGGGCTGACGGTGGTGAACAAAATCATTGCCAACAACCCAAGTTTCACCCAGAGTACGACGAGGGTGCAGGTATGATCAGTGTATATCATAAAATCCATGTGGGAGTACTAACATAGGGACAGGTTTTTGATGCGGTGGCTGCAGAATGCAAAAAGCAGGGTATTTACGTTCATCTTGATAACCATATTTCAAAGGGTGAGTGGTGCTGTTCGCTCACAGATGGAAATGGTTGGTTCGGGGATACCTACTTTAATGTTACGAAGTGGAAGAGGGGGTGGGAGTTCATGGCTAAGCGAGTTCGTCTTCCTTCCCTCTCCTTTTCCCTATTCAAACTCCAGGACCCAGTCTAGATTAAACCTGTACTGACCGAAGTAAAGGGCGCATCTTGGGGGAATCTAATGTCTGTCGGCCTCCGCAACGAACCCCGCGATACTAGCAACAACGCCGCCGTCTCCGCAACCTACAATTGGGAAACCTGGTACACGCACATGACATCCGCCGCCTCCACCGTCCACACCGCAAACCCGGACGTCCTCATCTTCTTCTCCGGTCTAAACTACGACACTACGCTCGCTCCCATAACCCTCGGCTCTGACCTCGGCTCTGGCTCCAAGTTCATCGCCTCCTCTTTCCCCTATGCTAACAAAATCGTCCTCGAGCTTCACAATTACCAAACGACCGCCACATCTTGCTCTTCAATAACAAGTGGATTGTATAATGGCGGATATAATGCTATGGATACAACTAACACGGCGGTGAAGAATATATTGCCCGTGGTGATGACAGAGTGGGGACATGATGAGACGAATAGCGAGTATAGTGGTGTTTATGCTACTTGTCTAAAGAGTTATCTTGGAGGGTTGAAGGGAGGGTGGATGGTTTGGGCGCTAGGAGGGAGTTACTATATTAGGGAGGGGACGCAGGATAGTGATGAGACTTGGGGTGAGTTCTTTTCATCTCTCCTTTGCCCATGCTGGAATGCTGCGATGAGATGGTTGCAATTACATGCAAGAGTGAAGTGAAGGATGTAAGATCAAAAAAAGAGAAACCCCTGCTAACGTTGTGTGTTGTAGGCCTTTATAATCACAACTGGACTGCTTGGAGGAGCGATCCAGCAATTGCGGCGATTAAGAGTATGGTTACTGCTACTTTGTAGGTGAAAAGTCAAAAAAGCAACACAGTTGAATGAAAACATTCCAATAAAGAATTACAAACAATATCCCAAGGTTAGTTGTACTTACCACGCCCAGCTCAAGGTGTTAAGTATTTGATGTGAAGTTCCCAGTGGGCTCGAGTGCTTAGGATGTCGAGCTTCACCTAAGTTTTGGCGGGTGCGAACTCTTTGAAAATCTCGCATTGCGTTAAGACCAGCACTCTCCACTCTCTCTAGGGATAGTCCTAAACCTTATGGCTTTATCCCAAGGCTTTATCCCAGTCCTGCTGAGGCTTCTAAGTATCTAAGCAGGTCTGCCACCATCAGACTTCCTAACGCCTTCCACATGCTACCCAATACGCTATTCTATGCGTGTAATGCAAAATACCGCCCACCTCAAAATCGTGTCTCCTTATTTCTTAGGATCCCATCTGTGTGCCTCATCGCCTTGTGCCCATGCCTTCTCAACATACCCAAGTTCGTTCTTAACTTTTTCGACAGTTGCTTTATCACCCGTGTTCTTTCCAATGTTGTCGCTAATTTTGATGGCTGGATTACCATTGGCGGAGTCTAACTTGATGACGATATTAAGGGGTGTCGACTTCTCGCCAGTGTTTTGGTGAACGAAGTCGTTAGTAAGGAAAGTCCCTACACCAAAGGTGGTATTAAAACCAGCCGCGTCAGAAATCTTCTTGTACTCCAAGCAGAGTTCGATGTTCAAAGAGTCTGAAAAAACGATAGTCTTCTTCTCCATAATTCCTTGTTCATCGTAGAAGTCCCTCATCATTTTGACAAAATTGGCTGGATCACCCGAATCTTGGCGCACACCCGTAAACACTTCTGCAAACGTCTTTGGCCTGACATTCGATTGGCCCAATGGCTTGCTCAAGGGTCCTTCTGCAGTCTCCACGTCCTTTGAAAGTGCTCCTGGCTGCAATGTTTCGAGAGCCGGTATCGGCTCTTTAAAAGCTTTCAAGAAAACTGGGGTTCCAAAGGTGTCTGTCAGGGCTATCCCGAGAACACCCTCCCCGAAACACCCTATCCAGTAACTCAAAGCTAAAGATGTAGCATTTTTGTAATCACCTGTAATAGCAGCAACTCCCATGAACCATTCGTGAGCGACAGTGCCAATAGGTGGAATGCCAAATCGCATAGCCAAGTGAACATTACTTGTTCCTGAGATCTTGCCTGGTAGTCCTGTTCGCTCGCCCTCTCTCCTTGCTTTGACAAGTCCACGGAAAACTAGGGCCTGTGTGTGGTAGTCGCGCCTTCTCCGCGTTCCGAATTCCGAAACAACACAACCAGCTTCAAGCAGGACCATTCCTTTGGCATAGGCTTTCTCCTCTTGCCCATCGTATGTCCAGTCGGTATCCATAAATCTGAAGTATGCTTCACTAGTCAAAGCCAGGAGCGGGATCTCGTATAGAATTGTTTCAACCCATTTCCCCTTCACTATAAGGCAGAACTCTCCAATATCGTCGTCGCTGCCTGTGTCGGTCTGGGGGGTGAATGAGGCTTCGACTTGTTCGCGCGGGTTGAGACGGAACTCTTTAAGGAAATCGAGGTAGGGCTTAGTAAGATACGTGCAAGTCGTCTGCAGAAATCGAAGTTCGTCATTCGAAAGCGCAATGTTACCAAGCTCTATTTGTTATTAGCAATGGCGCCTTGTTGGGATCATGGAAGCTAACTGTTTATTTGTATCTGCAACCATTTGAAAGCAGCTCTTGAAAGCTTCTTCTCTGGCGTTCTATTGTGAAACGCGTAAGAGACTTTAACATCCGCAAAGTATTTCAAGACTGCGCATTGCATAGTCAATTTGTAGAGATCGGTATCGAGGAAAGAGATGACTCCCTCTGGGAAAGGATTTGACCCATTGAAATCCATTTTGAATGCCCGTAAGCGTGAGTGCCCAAAGGATAGAATAAGTTAACTGAGATGAAGCTCCTACTTATGGAGCAGGAGCTGTGACGCGTGTCTTGAAATGCATGTGGGAGAAAGAGGAAGAGAGGGGCTTTGAATCAATTGTTCGCGGGATGAGGCGGATCGGCGATAAGATAGCGGCTGTTGGTTCTCTTGGAAACGAAAGATTCTAAGGTGTCACCTGGATCGAGCAAAAGGCTATGAATGATGAAAATTTGATGAGAAATTGTTGCTCAATGCGCAAATGGCCTGATCTTTAGCAATGACGCCTTTAACTCCCCAAACATGCCTAGGCTCAGTTGCAGAAATGTAAATGCCAACAACCGTTTTCAGCATTTGGAAACATCATAGGCTGAAGGTGAAACAATGAGGATGAGCACCAACAAAGCCTCAGCGAGGTTTAGTCACAAGGGGATTGCACACAAATAAAAATGAAAAGAATTCAAAAAAAGAATCACTGAACTCCGCAAGGATCGAACTTGCGACCTACTGCGCTATTCATTTCTTTCGAAACTGTAAAGCAGATGTGATAACCACTACACCAGGAGTCCAGATGTAAATAAGTGTGCTTAAGTCAATATATGTACGATGTTGCAGAATATGTTAGTCTTGAAGCTTTAATTGGGTAAGACGGCATATAGTGGGGCGGTTCTTCCGGAACTCTTCTCCGATCCCTCATTACACCCACCATTATATCATAACATGAGATGTTGTGCTACACCCCACAACAGAAGGAATATTACAGTGCGATCTTCTAGCGCGGAATTCTGCGCTCTTCCGGGTGTGTTACCATGTTTTCAATGTGTGCTAATTTTGTGTCCTAACACATTTCGAAGATCGCTCCTCTACCAAAGTTTTTCTCTTTGAGGCAAAACACCACAATCAAAGATGACTCTTTCTGTTCGAGGTTACCCTCAATTCTCTATCAATAATTGTGCGGGTATTACTTGTCAACTGTTATTGGGGCAAAAACAACCGCATTGTCGTCCATGAGTATTAGAGTTTCTTAAGCCTAGTGGCTCTCCATCATTCTCTCACTTCGTCAGTTTTCTGGATATGGAGCGGTAGGCTCCCCATTCAATTTCTCTGCATTGATATGGCAAGTGTCTTAAATTTCCACATTCTCATGAAGAAAGTAAGACATAGAAATAAGCTAGGATTGCATGTGCAGACGCCTTGCGAACTCCCGGAAAATCATGACAACATAATATAGCAGACTTTTCGTCTCAATGCTACATTCAAATAAATAGGAAAGTTTTGGCAGTGTTAAATTATACATATCTTCAAATTTCCCTGACTTCATTTAAAGCCAAAGCTTGCAAGTGTTGATCCCGAGGCTATTTTTCATACCGGGCCAGAACCCCGCAAATCAGCTAACATCACATTCGCTAGATCTACACTTCATATGTACGCTCTACAAACAGGTATAATCTTGAACTCTCAAGCCCTTAGTCCCCACTTCTCTTTTCTTTCATCAAACCGATCTGTGCTTTGTATCTTTCAATAATGACTCCCAACTCTACTCATGGCACAGTGTCCTTCACCCTACCACCAGATCTCGTCTCCTACCTAGCTGAACTGGACAACTTCATCGCCACTAAAATAGCACCATTACAAGCCATCAACGACAATCAACGGTTTTTCGACCACAGGCGAGAACATTCTCGAACGAATTGGGAAAACCAAGGTTGGTACAATATTCCAAATTCCCTTCTTGACCTCCAAACTCTCTTCTACAAACAAGCCCTAGTAACCTCCACTAGGTCTCCCACGTGATGATTGGGAAGACCTCCTCTCCGAATGTCGCAGACTAGCAGACGAAGCTGGGTTCTACCGATTCTGTCTACCAGAGGAATTTGGTGGTAAGAATGGGGGGAATCTGTGGATGGCCGTGATACGGATGCATCTCGCGAAGAAGGGATTGGGTCTATTTAATGATTTGCAGAATGAGCATAGCATTGTTGGGAATTTCCCTGATGTCCTTATGGTGAAGGAGTTTGGTACTGAAGGTATGGCATTTCTCTAGGATCTATCAGTGACAGGGAGATCTTGACAAGTCCACAGAGCAAAAACAAGAATTCATCCACGGCCGTCTAAACGGAACCCGATCGTTCGCCTTCGGCCTCACAGAGCCCAACCATGGCTCAGATGCAACCCATATGTTCACGCACGCCATCCCCACCACTTCACCTCAAAAAGGTTTCCTTATCTCCGGAGCCAAGATGTGGATTTCAAATATGCATCGCGCAACACACTGTCTCGTCTTCGCTCGTACATCTGGCAAACCGGGAGATGCACAGGGCATCACTGCCTTCTTCGTTCAGAAAGATGCCCCAGGGTTTGAGATTGAGAGCTACGAGTGGACTTTCAACATGCCTACTGATCACTCTTCATTGACTTTCACTGATGTGTTCGTGCCTGAGAGTGCGGTGTTGGGAGCAGTGGGGAACGGGCTAGCTATAGCGCAAACTTTTGTGCACGAGAATCGGCTTCGACAAGCGGCTTCATCGCTGGGCGCGGCAGAGTTTTGTATTGAAGAAAGTATAAAATATGCTCGTCGACGAAAGCCTTTCGGGAAAGAGTTGGCTACAAATCAGGGGATACAGTTTCCGATTGTGGAATTGGCTACTCAGGCTGAGATGTTGAGGCTACTAATTTTGAAAACTGCTGCTGAAATGGATCAGATGACGCAGAAAGAAATTGAGAGGGATTTGGGGGATAAGGTGAGCATGTGTAATGTGAGTGGTTTTACCTTCTGGTCTGAGGACTTCATCACTAATTTTGGGTTAGTATTGGGGGAACAGGCTGTGTACACAAGCAGCAGACAGGGCTATGCAGATTCATGGTATTCCCCTATCCAAACTATCATGGTGGGACGATCTTGCTAAGCAGGTGTAGGTGGGATAGGATACTCAAGACATAAGCCGTAAGTTCCCTGCATTGAACAAGATGTCAAAATTATACCAAGACAGAGGCTTAACTTGATTTGAAGGTTTGAGCACATCTACAGACATCACCGTAAGTATTGCTGTGGTGGGAATCAAAAATCTTTAGTTGACGCCCAACTAGGCCGATATCGTATCACCGAGGGTAGTGAGGAAATTCAGATGCGTAAGATTGCAGCATATCTGTTTGGATATGTTGGGCCTCGGAAAGCCGAATTATCAAAACTCTAAAAACCTGAAATTTGTGATGTAGCCTCCATCTACCTAGCACCTTCTAATTAGTAGAAATACAAGGCAAGCTTGTGAAAATTCTTTCGCCTTTTTCGGGACTCTGGGCAAGTGAGATTGTGGGTTCGATTATCTATAACCAGACTCTGAGAGAAAGGCTAGAACGTAGGCCACTCTGCATTTCAGGGAGGGTTGCATCAACAAGAAACATTCCACACTTCCATCCCGTTACCCACAAGGAGAACTTTCTTTCCCTCGTTGTCCCTTCCGCCAACCTTTCCACGCCTCAACACAGCTACATCTCCAACATCGGCAATAGAGGTAAACGTGTGCCCTATCATCTTAATATCAATAGCTGTTTCGTTTTCTTTGCCTTCATTAGTTGAGATTGTAACGAGCCACTCTTTAACTCTCTGATCATTACTCGAAGACACTACATTAAAAGTCTCCCGCATTGAGTCTACGGAATCAGGGTGAGAAGGCATAATTACCACACCAGTAATTGCAGCAGCATGCGCTGATCTCAGAATGTAGACTATGGGCGGTCCTGAAAGGTCATCCATAGAATAGATCGAGATACCTAAAGCATTGTCATCTCCACCTGACACTACCAAAACTTGCTTGCCAGATTTTATAGTTTGGAAATCGACGACTTTAATGGCGTTTTGGTGAACTTTCTTTGTTGAGATGAAAATTAGTTCCTGTGACTGTGCGCTAAAAGGCTCTCCCACTGTTGATTTCCAAAGCGTGAGATTTCCATCTGTTGCAGCTGTGAGAGTATACACCGTTCTATCAGATATATGGATGTGGTTGATTTGGGTAAGGCAGGCCGAGGTATATGTTCCAGTAGCTGCCAAGGAGAATGCCTCCGACTTAGAATATATGTAACTTCGAATTGTAGAGTCGGAATATGCTAAACTGATAAAAATTTTCGACCTGTCTACGGCAGAGCCCGGGGCCACTGAGACATCAAAGCTCATTATTCGCAGATCCCTTTCTTCGCTCTGGTCAGGGCATGTAGCTTCGCATACGACACCGATACCAAAACCAGGGATCTTCTCTACAGCCCAAACGAAGAATTCTTCATTTCCGCCACTACTGAATAGGTAATTTGTGCCGAACCATTGAATATGTTGAATTCCAGCTGTGTGTCTTTGAACAACGGCCTGACATGCGAAATGATGGTCAAGTGTAGTTCCCACGTCTTCATACTGCCAGATTCGAATGGCTGTATCTTCAGCTCCTGTCGCGATTATTTCAAGCTCTGGTGAGATAGCACACGTCTTAATTTCTCTTCCATGGCCACCTTGCTTGATGATTTTATGCGATGGGTTCATTTGCGAATGTATATAAAGCTTCGAAGCTTTAGTGTATATGAAATGGCCTCCCTCTACAAGTTTCGGCGATGAGTAGTCGTAGCTTCTGTGAGCACCACCACATTCCACCGTCAAGATTTCATACTGCCTGGTCTCATTCCACACAATGAAGTTCTTGCTTTTGAAACCATAGAGGATAAGATCTTCTCCTTGGAACCAAGCCGATTCGATCATGGGTCCAAATGGTGGGGTCCCTTGGTGTAAGAGTTGTAATACGGGTGATGCCCCGTTGTAGGTGCCGGCGAGCGTGCATGAAAATATCGAGTAATGCCCATCTCGCCCCGTGGTAACAAAATGCATTTTCTCTACAGCCTGATTAGAATTCGGGCGTTTTAATGGTAAGATAGCCGTTATAGCGTCTCCAGCACTGCTTAAGCTATCTTTCCATTGACAAAGCGGAGCCTCCTGTATCCTGGAATCATATATAGCAAGCGCGCCGCTCCTTGATCCGAGAACAAGGAATGTATGATTTGTGCTAGCGCTTGTAACCACAAACTTATCGGGAAGATTATATGTGCAGGAGTGAATTGGTGCAGAACCCCCTGGGCTAGAGAGTGCGATCAAAAAAGCAGAAAATATACTCGTGGCTAGTGTCGTTGCAAATAGTTGAAAACACGAGGTATCATCACAGGGAACTCCAAACAGGTCTGCGACTTTCCCGTTAACAGAACAGAGCTCTTTGATGGGGTTTTGGGCATCCCAAATATAGATCTTCCCATTAGCACCAGCGAGGAAAGCCAGTCCAACCTCCGGGAAGCCCTTTACAACAGCATAAGATTTGAGGTCGAATTTACCAGACTCGGGAAGCGGTACTTCGCTCCAGCGAGGTGAGCCTTCTAATTCACATTCCAACACCCGTCCAAAAACGGTTGTTGCCAGAAATTGGCTCTCTGACACAAAAGCGTAGCGGTTGAAAGTATCCTTGGCTACCTTCTTAAGCTTTTTCTTCTTCGGTGGCTTTATTCCGTCTGTCGATTGTCCTATGTTTTCTTTTGTGGCATC